GGTTCGAATCCACCAGATGCTCTGCCGAGGAAGGAGGGACAATCTCCTCCTGTACCAGTCAGATCTGATTTGACGGTACACACACACAAATAAAATAAAAAAAATTTTTAAAAAATACTCATTTCTTGGTTGTATTTTAACACCCACTTATTCTTTTTTTAAGAGTTAGACTGACAAAAGGGGGAAAAAGACCCAACAACAAAAAAATTTTTTTAAACATCCCCAAAAAAGAGTTGGAGTGCCAAATGAAAGGCATGCCATTTGAATTTACTAGAGAAAGACTCCTTCTGTGAGATTTACTGCCTCTGAAAACTCACTGTAGGATCAGCTATGAGTAGCTTCAACACAACTGTATACAACAACAATCTTTCTTAAGGAACTATGGTGCGTGTGGAGTTGTGCTACCACCTCAAAGGCAGGCAGTTCGAATCCACCAGTTGCTCAGAGGGAGAAAGCTACGCAATCCTATCCCTATCACTAAAGGGTCAGCTGAGTTAGTTCTGTCTTGACAACAATGAGAGAAAATCTACTTTTGTAGATTGTTGCCATCACAAAGGCACATAGTTTGAATCCACCAGTTGCTCAGGAGGAAAATGGGCAATCTCCTTAAGCAAGATTTACTGCCTCTGAAAATCTGCTGGTCAGCTATGTGTGGGCTCTGACTCAAGGGTATACAACAACAAAAACATTTAGGAGTTAAAATATTTCACAATGTCCTTTATGTGTTCATTAACCAAGGCTGAACTTGTGAGTGCTGATAAAATGCCATTTTGTTATACATATTATACATACACAAGAAATGTTTTAAAAATTAAAGGAGGAAAATAAACCTAACATTCGAAGAATAAAACATCTCTATGCCAAAATATTTTTAACATTATTTGTTTAATGTGTAAAGAAACTAACCTTCAACAAAATGTGATCCTTCTGTAACAAACTCCAGTAATTGACCAAAGATTGAAGTAATTGCCTTCTTAGCCAGCACAAAGTGCTTCAGAGGAGAAGTCGTTTCTGCCATTCTGTGGAGAGAGAAAAATTAGAGAGGTACAAATTAGAGTGGACTGCATATGACAACAACCTGTCTGGGCAGGGGAGAGGGAAGAAAATGTGCAGCAATGAAAAACTGAACTTTTTTTTTATAATAAAGAAACAAAGTGGATTGCAGACATGCAAACTCAATCCTCAACTAATCTGTCCAAAGATTTTAAACAAACTACCTGCTTGAAGTTACTATTTTCCTAAAAAAGGTAAAATTTACTGGCCCGGAATCTTGGTTGCACTTTCTATTAGAAACTAACTGCAGTTATGACTGTGAGAGCCTTAAAGTCCATCAGGGAACTGAGTCAGTCGCGAGAAGCCAAGTTCACAAACTGTAACAAAGACATTAAGTTTCTTAACTTAATGACATTAAGTTTCTCAAGCTCTAGGTGGGTGATGCAGGAGATGCAGGAGGAAATAAAAACTCATTCACAATGCAACCACTGACGTGTAGAAAGAAGTGACTCTCATCGCTGAAAAGAAGCGAGGCTTAAAACAGCCATCACGCTGTCAGCCAAGGAACTTAAAAAGATTTAAGTAAAACAAAACAAATAATGTGTTTGGTGCTGGCTGCTCACGCAAATATGTCAGCAAAGACAGATACATACACCCAGTCTTATCTTGATGTGCGCGAGGACTGAATGACCGACGGGCAGTGAACCGTCCAGAGGGCAGCAGCACCTACCTGCGGGAAAGGCCTTCTCGGCTTCACACCCCGAGAGCTACCCCACGCGCCCGCTCCCACTCCCCCAGCCCCGGCACTGGCCTCACCGACCCGACCCGGCCGCCAGCCGCGCTCCGAACCAGGGTGGCCGGCTCCCTCCCCGCGGGATCACGCCTGCGGCGCCCCGTCACAGAGCGCCCGGCGCGCGGCTTCCCGCCCCCTGCGCCCGTCTGCATGAAGGTCACCTCGAGCCTTCCGAAAGTGCTGGCGGTCTAGCGTACATTCAGGCCGAGCCGGCCCCCCACTTGTCACCGGGCAACCACAGCTCTACCACAACCTCGCAGCCAAACTAGCAGCCACCTCATCCTCTTAAAGGAAGCCGAGTGACAGAGGGCGGAGGAGGTACCATGAGGCAGAAAGTTGTCACTTCCGGTTTCTTGCTCACCACTCTTCTGTTTGGCCCTGTGCCGGAAGTCCGCTTAGGTCAGACGCCATTATTCTTAAGGGCAGAGGCAATAGTGGCTGTGGGCAAAGGATACCACCCAGAGGAGGGGTTTCCAAGATACTTTTGAAATTCTCCTCCTCCTCCCTTCACCCCGCAAAGTTTCTAAGGCTCTTCCCAGTTTAGGAAGAGATAGTTGCCAGTGACAATGACTGACTTCATGAGATAGAACCAGAAGAAGTGTAAGATGAAATGGGGATCGCTAGGTAAGGGGAAATGCCAAAGTACTAATAACTCTATTGCCAATAAAGGTGTGTTACATTAGGAAAGTTGGCTGTCAGAGACCTCTCCAAAATGCTAAGGAGCAACGACGTCAGTTTGAAAACTAAAGTAAGCCGATCCAAGCCATGTGTTTGTTAGTCACTTGGTGTGCATCTCAGGCTGAATGATGAATAAGGGTAATAGAAGAATTGATTCCTTTGAACGGTAGTATTGGAGAAGAGTACTGAATATCTCATGGACTTCCAAAAGAACAAACAGATGTGTTTGTACCTTCTTGGAGAAGGTGCAGCCGGAGTGTTTGTTGGAGGCAAAGATGATAAAGCTTCCTGATGATAAGACTCTCAACCAACTGGATTGGCACAACAGCTGCAGCAGAAGCCTTGAGGGTGGCAGAGATTGTGAGGATGGCACAGGATAGGACAGCACTCAGATCTGTTGTTCATAGGGTGACCATGAGTCGTACTTTACTGGAGAAAAATTAACAGCCAAAAGAACCAATAAATATATTTTGGAGCTAGATTCCAACAAGTTACATCTCCACTGTTTATTTGGGATAGCGGTTTTGGACGTTAGAACTTAGTTTTCCTTTAGTGATCATATTACCATAGTAATAGTTTTCTCCAAAATACAACATGTTTATTAACCAAAGGACTATGTAAACCATTTTATTGATGAGATATACATTTCTTAGGAAATCAGTGAAAACAATGTTGCAGCATCACTTATCTTTTAAAACACTGTAAATACATTTAAACATGTATTAACACTTGCTTTTTCCTTTCCCCATCTTTTAAGGAGTCTTCTGGCAAGGAATGTAAAAAGAAGGGGTTTAGAAGTGCTATCAAAAGGTATGAAATGTTGGGAGACGGTCAGGGAAAGACTTTACCAGGTCTTGCTATGTGTGGTGACTGGAATCCCCGTTTGATGTTTTCCTACTGCAATAAAATATTTAAATTGATGTGAGTTAGTTTTTCATTGCAAAGTAACACTGTGCAGATATAGGCTGTGAAAAGCCTTAGCTTGATCTGGAAAACATAAATGATCAGGTCATGAAAATTTAAAATTATATACATTTTCTTTTCCTCATGTGCCTTCAACTTTTAAACCATGTACTGGTCTTTGCAATTACTTGCTATGCATCAGAGAGCTGGACAGTGACTCGGGATGACAGAAAAAGAATCAATGCCTTTGAGTTATGGTGCTGGAAAAAGAATCTTGAACATACCATGGACTGCCAAGAAAACAAATAGGTCTGTCTTGGAGAGGGTGAAACCAAGTCTCTCCTTGGAGGCTAGGACTTTAAAGATTTGTCTCACATACTTTGTACACATGGCCAGGAATGACCAGTCCTTGGAGAACATCATGCTCCCAAGGGTGAAAGGACAGCGCAGAAGAGGAAGATCCAAAATCAGATGGATTGACACAATGGGTCAGTGGTGTTAGGTGTGTTGGAGTTAGTGAGATTGGCTCAGGACAGGGCAGGCTTCAGAGCTTTTGTTCTTAGCATCCCTATGAGCCACAGACAACTTGATGGCACAGAACAACAAAAGCAGTGATAAGAAGCTGTTTTGCAATCCCAAAGGCATATGGCTTAAATCCACCAACTGCTCCATAGTAGAAGGATGCAATTCTCCTCCTGTGAGATTAATTGCCTCTGAAAACCTGCTGGAGGGGGTCAGCCAAGGGTCAGTTCAGATTCAACAGCACACAATCAACCCAACCAAAGCCAATCTGCTTATTTTGTGTTGAAGTATTTATCGTACTAAGGAGGGAGTATTAGGATGAAAGACAAGCCCCATCCTACTGTTGTTGTTAGATGAGGTCCAGTCAAGTATGACTCAAGCCATCCTATAAACAACAGATCTGAAGTCTGTCCTATACTGTGCTGTCCTCACAATCTGACACATTCAAGTCCATTGGTGTAGTCATAATGTGAACCCATTTTGTTGAGGATCTTCTCTTCTTTGCCATCCTTCTACCTTCCCAACCACCTGCATTCTAGATATTAGTGAGATGAGATGGACTGGCTTTGGCCCATTCTACCAGAGTCTATATACTCATGGGACCTCAATGCTTTCCAGCTACTTTGCAACTGATCTCTGCATCATTGGCTTGCCTCACGTACAGCTGTTTCCGGTACTCTTCTCCAACACTACAACTCAAAGGCATCAATATTTATTCTGACATCCTTATATTCATTGTCTCACTTTCAAATCTATAGGGAGTAACTGAAAAAAGATCATGACTTACACCCTAGTCTTTAGCTGGACAGGATTGCTCCTGAGCACCTTGGAGAGGTCTTTGACAGATTTTCCCAAAGCAGCATGTCTTTCGGTTTCTTTTTTTTCTTATTTTATTTTTATTGTAATTTGCATGAAAGTTTACAAAGCAATTTGGTTATCTATCCAATTATTCATCCACATTTTGTTTGAGTTTTTCTTAAAAAATATTGGTTTGCATAGAATAATTTGCTTCCTTTATGTTTCATTCATGCACATTGTTATTTTTTACCCTCTCACTCCATCCACCAAACTCTGTGACTCCATGATCCCGCCAGCCTTCCTGCCCATCCCTTTCTCCCTTTCCCTCTTGGATATCCATACACATATTTCTAGTTATCCTTCTGCTTTTACAATATTTGTTCTTATGCACCTGAGTTAATTCATTCAGCATAATGCTCTCTAGTGTCTCCATGTTATCAAGAAATTTTCAAAATCATTGCTTCTCTCTGCTATCTTTCATCATGTGAATATACCACACTTTCTCAATCTAGTAATTTGTTGATGGACACTTGGGCTATTTCCACGTTCTTGCTATTGTGAATAATGCTGCTACAGACATTGATGCACAAATCCCCATTTGTGTCTCAGTGCTGTTTTCCTTGGGGTATATTCTTAGCAGTGGAATAGCTGGGTCATATGGAATCTCTATGTTCATCTTTTTGGAAGACATGCCAAACTGCCCTCAAGAGTGGTTGTACTATTTTACAATCCTGCCAAGATTGTATGAAAGTTTCTATCTCTCTACAGTCTCTTCAGTATGTATTGATTGCTTGTTGTCCTGTCAAATTTTGCAACTGCTAATGGCTGACTCTGAGAAGAAAGGGAATCCCAGAACATTTAATCGTGCTAATGCAAAACCTATACTTGGACCAAGAGGCAGTCGTCAGAACAGAGAAGGGTAACACTGCATGGTTCAAAATTGGGAAACGCGTACAACAGGGATGTGTCCCGTCTCCATACCTTTTCAACCTGTATGCAGAGCAGATTATCCGAGAGGCTGCGCTCTGTGAGGAGAAGTGTGGCGTCAGGATTGGTGGAAAATCTATTAACAATCTGCGTTACGCAGATGACACAACCCTGCTTGCTGAAACTGAGGAGGACCTGAAGCACTTACTGCAGAGGGTCAAGGACTGCAGCCTACAGTATGGACTGAGGCTCAATGTCAAGAAAACAAAGATTCTCACCACTGGACCAATTGGTAGCATCAGGATGGATGCCGAAGAGATTGAGATTGTTCACAGCTTCAGTTTGCTCGGTTCCACGGTCAACACTCTTGGCACCAGCAGCCAGGAAATAAAAAAACGTATTGC